TTACAAAGAAATGGATAACTTTTTATCTGATTAAGTAAGATTTGAAGCAACGAAGTTATACCTTATCAATACCTTCTTCACTGGCATCCAATCTTTTGGTGATGCTGATAATTTGCCAGACGTCAGTCACAGGATCTGTGATTTTACCCTTTATTCGCTCGATAAGCTCTGGCGTCGTCGATAACTCTTCCAGAGCTTGAAATCGCTGCTGAAGCTCGTTTACCTATATGGATATCATCGTTCAAACAATATTTGTGAATTAATATTTCTGTAAAAAGTAAAATGCATTTTTATTACGGTTTGCTCGATTCGTTTAAAACCTAATGCTGTTGGAGTTGTACCATCGACGATTGGTTCCACAAAAATAACAGTTTCACATTCACCTTCCGTACCAGGACCAATTTGTTGCCTCGTACCTTTCGTTTCTTTCATATCTCCCTTATCTGAATCTATTTTTTTAATAGTGCACATAATTTGTTAGATATTTTATTGAATTTTAGTTGAAATTAGAGAATTTTCTCTGCTTTATCGAGTGTAGAAAAAAGTAGATAAATTATAGCAAGGACTAACTTCTTTATCGACACAAACCTTTCTCAGCCTTTCCACGTTTTGTTTCTGAATCACCCGCAGATTTTCCTGATTCAGCATCTGTAACAAAGTGTTTTGAATAGGTGAATGTACCTTTTGGTATTGTGAAACACTCTTTTTACCATCTGTTACTACGTCTGCTTTCACGTCAACAGCGTCAGCACTGCGAACACGATGTTTCGCGTTGTTGGAATCATCGATAATACTGTATTCCTGTAGATAAAGCGATGGACCGCCTTTCAGAGAGCTTACTATCGTCTAAAAACACATGTTAATGTATATTTCACTATTAAATTAAATAACAATATCGTGATTAAGAAATTGCTCGTTTACCTTAATTCGATTAGCATCGTCACCACGATATTCGACCTTAGTTGATTTCAAATTTATCTGATGCAGTAAAATATGAAGGAAATTGTGGAGGATATTTAAATTCACCGCTCCAACCTACAGACGAACGTAAAACGACGTACCTGTCGTTAAAGTATGTCTTATCTCTCATTCCACGAAAATATTCCATATTTGTTAACGGTAAGAAATAAACTTTGTTTACTTCCGGTGTTCCCAATGCAAGATCCAACATTTGAGGTAATGTAACCTGTAGACTGGCTACATCTTTATCGGCGGGTGATGCTGCAGGCGGATTTGCAACTTTGGCAGCCATTCTCCTTCACTTCAACAATTTGTCGGGATATTCGTAAGAAAAAAACATAATAAGAATTTCTCTCGTTTTTCCGTGATGCTTCTTGTAATTCTACTACTTAAATGTCATTCGAACATGTCATTTTGAATAAGTAACATTCTTCTTTTTCGAGATAAGCTCCATCATACAGAATAGTGTGGAAACATATTGTAAGTGGTTATCACCGATGAAGATTCTAAAATAGATTAGGTACAGAATAGACATCATCCAACGTATTTTTTTTGTCACGTCTGGGGGGCTTTGAAGCCCTCTTGCTGTTTTCGTGACTCTTCCAACGTTACTTTCGTGTTCTGCTACTGCCAGAAGATCGTGAAAAATTCTTCTACCCAGTGGTTCTACCCACTCAATCCAATATATGTAAATATCATTGCATGCGGATTTAAAAAACCTTTTACACCTGTCGACTTTACCATCTTTGCTAATTGAATTCCTAAACTCATATCTTAGAGGGTACAACGAGACCTCTGTTATCTTACACGGTCGGTATAGTAGAACATTGTACACAAAAACACATTATATGGTAGATCTATTCTGTACCTTGTCCGTGCTACTACGTAGCTTTCAGGAATGAACCAAGGATGGTGGTCACAGTTACCACAAACAAGTGTCGCCCTCATGCGGGTCGAAACTTCTTGTTCCATATTTAAAATTTCAAATATTATAATCAAGAAATTCCTCACATATTTAACAAAATTTTCAAGCGTACAATAAAATCCTAATACTACAAATCAAAAAACAAATGAAAAACATAGATAATACACATTTCTAACAATTTCAGTTCAAATCTGAATTTCTTAAACATTCACTATCCCCAAAAATAAACAAACTCCCTACAAATTCAACCTTTTTAATCCACCAATACAAGATAACGTAAAATTGTAAAAATTTTGTCATTTCAACAACAACACTTCTCTTTTCTCTTACAGGAAAAAAAAGGTTCGCAAAGGAAAGGTCGCGCAATTCATCGTGGAAAAAAAAGTGGAACGCCCGGTGTTCCCGAAAGCGAAAACAAAGAAACGTTTGTCACCGTGAAAAATGTAACAACCGTTCACTTTTAATATCAACGCGTCTGTTCACAATAACTTCTCTCGTATGTTACGTTACCGGCGTGTCGTATTAATGAAACAATAATTCATCGTGCTCTCCATTCTTTGCATAGTAAAACCGTTTATCTGACCGTACGTGACAGGTGGTTCCTATCGTGGAATAGAAACAAATTCACGATCAAAACGTAGATTAGTTCGCGACGTACATATTTTACAGCGACACGAGCCGTATGACGTTGTCGATCGTTCACAATGTCTATCCGATACGGTCAACGCGTGCATCGATCGGCCGGTATTTATATCGCCGATACGGAAAACGATTAATTCCGCTTTATCGGCGCTGTGGCGTTCTATGAACTTTCGAAAAGTTTCGATATTAATGGAAGTTTATACCGTAGTTATAACAAGATTATAATCCCCGTTACGGCGTTTCTTTCTCCGTGTTCCTGGTAAACTGTCGTAAAATTTATATTTACCGCGCAAAATAAGGTGGTGATAACCACAATAAATAAAACACGAGGGAACAAAGATTCTTGGAATAACCGATTAAACGACTTCAATTTTTTATGCACACTTATTAATACTACTTCTCATTTGAGTGGAATTATTTCAGGATTCCGGGTGTGAGAGAAATCGAGGGCGCCGTCGAGACAGGGTTTCGAGCGGCCAGTCCGGAATGGGAGCAGGCGATATCGGGCCCGAGGACTGAGCCGCCACGAACATCGGCGACCAACTAATTAATGTTAATTAATGTGCAAGGTAAATTGCTATATTTAACAGAAACTCTCGAAGAAAAAATTTGTACTTCCTTTCTATTTCGGGAAATGAATTCCGACGGTACTAACAGGACACTGACAACGATTCTCCAATCTTTTAAATGCACCCATGGTACATCACGTTCTCGTGTTACGCGCGATAAATTCGATCTGGCCAATGTTTGAGTTACATTGTTTGATCCGCGGATCGAATGTTTAACCGTGAGTAATATCAGCATTCTTGAACGATATTCCGTCATCTGTGGTAGAATCCCGAACATGTGTTCAATGCTAGGAGTTTCTAATCATCTTTTGCATGATTCAGTCGACCATCAGGTGCAAGACACGCTAGATCGGTCCTGTGCGCATCATGAATTCTCTTTGATTTTTTTTTCTTCTTCCTCGAGGTTCGTTCGCAGTGTTAAGTGTGATTAAACGGGAGGGAAACATGAATCGATCGAAATGGAACCTTTTTTCGTTGGTGATGGTGAGTGGAAGTTGATAATTCTGTTCTGGAGAGCCATTTTTTTACCATGATTCGTATTGCAAGTTACTGGATGTAGACGTACTTTATAAACGCGCTATATAATTTTTTTTTGAAAGAAATCACAATTGAGAAATAGATAAATAGTGGTTTTCGTAAACTTTCTAAGTTCCATTTTTTTTTTTGGTGGAACTTTTAAGTCTAAGTTTGCTACCACTTATGGTACTCTTATTTGTCTTACTGATAGCAAATAGAACCTTTCCAATGTTACAATACTCGCAAAAAATTTCCATTCTTACCTGCACATTGAATTTTCCTAAATTTAACAAAATTTCAAAAACCACCAAACGTGTAACCTACTCCAACTTTGATATAATTTTCTCCACACTCCAGCAATAACGTGTTCCATCTTAATCCACTGAAGAAATCAACGATTCCCAATATTAGAATACTCGCAAAAAATTTCCCTTCTTACCTGCACATTGAATTTTCCTAAATTTAACAAAATTTCAAAAACCACCAAACGTGTAACCTACTCCAACTTTGATATAATTTTCTCCACACTCCAGCAATAACGTGTTCCATCTTAATCCACTGAAGAAATCAACGATTCCCAATATTAGAATACTCGCAAAAAATTTCCCTTCCTACCTGCACATTGAATTTTCCTAAATTTAACAAAATTTCGAAACCACCAAACGTGTAACCTACTCCAACTTTGATATAATTTTCTCCACACTCCAGCAATAACGTGTTCCATCTTAATCCACTGAAGAAATCAACGATTCCCAATATTAGAATACTCGCAAAAAATTTCCCTTCTTACCTTCACATTGAATTTTCCTAAATTTAACAAAATTTCGAAACCACCAAACGTGTAACCTACTCCAACTCTGATACAATTTTCTCCACACTCCAGCAATAACGTGTTCCATCTTAATCCACTGAAGAAATCAACGATTCCCAATATTAGAATACTCGCAAAAAATTTCCCTTCCTACCTGCACATTGAATTTTCCTAAATTTAACAAAATTTCGAAATCACCAAACGTGTAACCTACTCCAACTCTGATACAATTTTCTCCACACTCCAGCAATAACGTGTTCCATCTTAATCCACTGAAGAAATTAACGATTCCCAATATTAGAATACTCGCAAAAAATTTCCCTTCTTACCTGCACATTGAATTTTCCTAAATTTAACAAAATTTCAAAAACCACCAAATGTGTAACCTATTCCAACTGAAATCCAAACTTTAGCAATAACCTGTTCCATATTAATCCACCGAAAGAATCAAAGTTTCCCAATATTACGATACTCGCAAGAAGTTTCCCTTACCTCCACACTAACCTCCGACGACACGCTTGAAAATTTTCAAAAACGTCAAACAACAATAAAATTCACCTCGATCGCCGTCCACCCGTCACCCAATCCACCGACCAACTCTACCGAGCATCGAAATTCTTGCCGCAGCTCTCGTTAATCTCTACGGGCATCCAGTCACCGTCGAAGGAAAACACGGAGCATCGTCCGAGGAAACGTCACGTCTCGATGTCGAGTCAATCGGTTAACGGGCCACCCTACTGGGAGCACATTCTCCGTGAGTTTGTGTTCAAGACGGTCTCACCACCGCCACAGGGCAACCATCAGCTGTACAAACGTCTATTGGACGCGCCATTTTACGCCGGCCCGTTTCCGTTTCCAACAACCGACTCCGCAACCGTCCTCGTGTTATCGCGCGGCGACGTTTATCACCTGGCGAACGGCCACTGGCTGTTCTGCCAGCAGGGCTGCTTCGACTGTGAGGTGTGCTCAGAGCACACGCACCCTGCGGTCAAGTGGATACTAAGGAGGATCAAGAGGATCTCGTCACATGGCTCGCCTAGACACGATCTACAGCTGACGATCCTGCCGCAGGTGGACGGTAGCTACCACATGAAGAGCCTTTGGCCTCGATCCTACGTCTACGTGACCTCCCAAGGCGAGCAGGACGCCTACTTCAACGATAGACGTTATTATCGTAACGACGGAACCGCTTATGCGAATCATACCGAAGATGATTCTTCCGGGCAGGGAAGAACGGGGAGAAATTTTTGGACGTTCGTTGATAGGAATTCTTTGTCTGACAGGAGTGCAGTTGGAACGCAGGTGCCTGAAAAACGAGTAATTGGAGGTAATGATAGTAGTGATAGTTCTAAGGAGCACGTAGATAATAATAATAAGGAGAATGTTGAGAGTACAAGTGTTAGGTCTAAAAAGGACGACGAAGAGGTGACTGGGAATGATTTGAAAAATGTTAAGAGGCAACCTACCGAAGTGAAGTTGAAGGAGGGGGAAGCTACGAATGGTTCCACGGTGGATAATAAATTTAAGGAGAATAGAAGTAACAGGGTCAGACAGTTGATACCAAAATTGATTCTCGGGACTGATCATTTGGGACAGAAGCATTTAGTGCACGTGGTACCTGCTGATGCATCGACGAATACGAGTTTGGTCAATTCTGCTGTGTCAAATGGTTTGAATTCGGCTGGTCAAAATAGAACTGCTTATCAGAGAATATTGAGAAGGATCTATGATTCGTTGAGCAGTAACAGAAGGTCTATCGAAAGTTTCCTTGATCCTTCGAAGCAAGCAGGTAATTTGCAGATTTGTCATATTTTTTGGAAATAAGTGAATTTGTGAGAATGTATTTTTTTTGTAGGACAAGTGAATCAGCAAAGTGAGGAGCACCAGCAACAAGAAACGAGGAGTGGTTTGGCAGGACTGAAACAAACAGGTCGTTTCTATCCTATTCATGACAGAGGAGCTCGAAATAAATCTTCGTTGTACGAACGATGGCCTTATACGTTAAACTGGAGCAGGCAACGAGATAAATCTAACGATGATGTATTTCCTGAAAGGTTTATAAATAATACAAGCAATATTGGTCATAGGCTGAGTAATCCTGGAATACAAAATAATCTCGCGAATTTAACGTTGCATCGGGATATGAGGAATAAGAACGCATCTGACAGGATTCGTTCTAAATTGATCGATAATGATAGTTTGAAAATGGGTAACGTCACTCGAAAATTTATACCTAGAAAGTATAAAATAGTTGTTACTACCGAGTCAACTACAAAATTGAGCGATATCACGAATGATAGAGAAATTATTCAAAACCGTGGCTACCTGACTCCTGGAAATCAGAATGTTACGTCTAGATAATTTGGTAATAGTTTATATCAAAAAATTCACTATTATTGTAAGTAAATCATCAGCCAACCATGAAGCCACTGAATGAACTCGGAATCTGTACAATATTCTTCAGATCCTTCCTCCAGCCTCTCATACACAAACGAAACACACAACCATTCTCATGCTACATGTAATAATAAGAATTCTCCATAATTTGTTCGTACTCTATATAAAAAAATAAGTAATAAAATTACTATTATTGCAAGTAAATCATTAGCCAACCATAGGTTAGGCTCAACGAACTCGGACACTGTACAATATTCTTCAGATCCTTCCTCCAGCCTCTCATACTAAAACTAAACACACAACCACTCTCACACCTGCTCCCTCAACCTCTCACAACATCCTCCTCCTTTCTACCTCGCAATAAAATTCTCAAATCAACCCTTGTTACTAGTACTTGTCTACCCTCTCTGCACATTCCTCTGGAAAATTTGCCCGTAATAAAAGAAACTAATAGCACCGTAGGTAGAGGAAGCATCACCTAAGCGGCGTAAGCCCGCGGGTAGCGCCACCGGCGGCACCGCTAAGAGGATCGACGATCCTTAATCAGGCCTGGCGCGATCGTTTAAAACGATTATAACCCTTCCTTGTCCCACGGTCGTATCGCCAGGCATCGCATCAGTCTCTCGCATTAGCCAGCCTGAGAGTAGGATAGAAGAGGTTACCCTCTGCCTGTCCCTCCTAGTGTGACCTCCGCAAGCGTGTTAAACTCTCTCCCCGTAATTGCGTGGCGATGGAAGCGTCGCGTGCTCCCACTTACGTACATACGTGTACACACACGCGTGTTGCACCCTATGCCTCTCTACTCCGTGGCTGTTTCTCTTCGTCGTGCTGGCGTTTGCGGAGGTGTACGGGACCCATGTTCGTGCACGCTTGCTGAATTTGTGCAAGCACCGGGGGTATAGAGAGTATCTTCGTGTACGTACACCTCTGCTCTGTGAACGAGAAAGGCTGGTTCAAGCTGGTTGAGCTTTTGGGGAAACGTAGGATGGTGAACTGCCACAGTGGGGGTGGGTTTGGGCGATGGTGGGAAGGGAGGAAGGGATGAGACGACGGGTCTCAGGCGGTAAGGTTTGAGGAGCAGAGGTAAGCCGGCGCTTATATTTAATTAAGGAGGATACGGGCTCGAGCGAAGAGAGAAAGTCGGATGGCACAGCCTCGAAGAAACTCTCTCTCTCCCTCTCTATCTTGGCTCGACGAGAGAGAAAAGGAAACGTAGCTCTGTGTTTCTTGTCTAATTATCTACCCTTCGCGTCCTGCCAGCCACGTTCACTTTCTACGTCTGCTATCTGCCGCGCGATCCGCTTCCTCCATCCCCTTTCGTTCTCTTTCTCTCCTTCTCATCCTGATTTCCGCCCAACTTTCCGCGTTCTTCCCGAACGTCTGATTTCGTTCCTGCTCTTATACCAGCTCCTCTTTCCTTCACCTCTTTCCTGTCCCTTTTTTCTTCCTTAATTTTCTTCCGTTCCCTTTCCCGCTCGTTGGCCCATTTCTTATTGAAGTCGAAACGATCTTAGACATCGTCGCGGAGCAGACGGGCTGCCGACCTTTCCACTTCCGCTGATTTCGTCATCGCGGAAACGGAGAATCACGACGAATAACGCGGCGTCACGAAGTTTTTAATTGGATCGCGTCGGGAGTGTGATAATCGGTGTAGACAAGTAGCTGGCAGTGATAATAATAGTATTATTAAATTATTAATTTCATTTCTGTCACCTGTGTCGAGCCATTCCTCGTTTTCTGAAATAAATTAGAAAGCGTGTATCTCGGTTCGTGATTTGCTTTCAAATTTCTTAATTCACCCAACAGATCGACTTCCCCCGGCTCTCGTTCCTCGCGATTAACCTCAAACGAATTATCGAGAGCAGGGATAGCAAGGTTTATTTCTGCATACAAACGAAGGACACCGCCTCTCTGTCACCCGCGTCGAACGTTTTCTTTCAATTCGACCCTCTGTCTCTTCTTTCTGTCCCTCGTACCCCCTTACTTTCGCCTCGTTCTTCGCCGCGGTCTTCCTTGCCTCTCGTAGTCCGACGGTGCAAAACGATCGATTCGATCGCAGCTGGATTGCTTTTAACGAGTTTCCTTTCAGCACGGTTTATCGAGAATTGTGGCCGCTTTCGCCGAGCCCCAGAAACCGAATACGCCGGGGAAATTTCGATGGAAGATCTTAATTAAAGACGCTCGTCCAAAAAATGAGAGTCAACCCCTCTCTCGCCTGCAACGCGTTCCAACGCCGCCCCATTGGTCGTCGAACGCGGGACCGAGATTGGTATTATTGCTGCGTGGATGCGAGGGCTTCTATTATCATCCAGTCGTCGATCTCATCAATGATTGTGTATATAATTCGGGAAACGCCTGGGACGATCGTGGAATCGAGAGGCGTCGCGTTTAATGGGATCGTTAACGAGATTTCATCGAGAGAAAGTGGCCGATTGGTCTCGAAGAACAAAAATTTTCTTCAGCGAGAACTGTGTTAATTAAACACTGCTTTAATTCGGTTCGAAATTTTATTTTGTTAATAGAGACCCTATTTTTGAACACTTTCTGTTAGTATGTTTTCTTAATCCTCCAAGCTTAAATTGAAGAATCTTTTAAGTGACCTTCTTTCTGGTCCGTTTTTGCAATTTCCTTCATTTAGAGGAAAGTATTCTTCTAATTGAAAAATTTTGATTTCAGACTATATTTAAAATAATCTTAAAGGAGGGTTTCAGATTTTTCCGAGATATTTTGTATAAAATTTAAATTATTTCATCGTCTCTATAATAGAGCATACGAAACAGTTCGATGTTGCAATGCTTCACTTGTTTCCACCAGCTTCGAAACATTATTTTTCGCAAAAATTTCCAGCTTTATTTAGTTGTTCGTTAGTTCTCCGACTGGATACTCGCGCGGTGGGTGCGCAAAATTGAATGGAGTTAAATGAATTAAAAAGCAACAAATCCGGGCGAAAATAATACTGAAAGAGCGTGGCGATCCTTTTCCGCATGGTTTATTCCCATTAGAGTAATTATTATTTATGCTCTCGATGTAACGTAAAGGAGAACAACAATTCAGCTTTCTCCAAACTAGCAACGCTCATGTACACGCGCGCTAATACATTAACGGTTCAAATTAGCTTTTTCATAATTAAAATATGTTTCACCGTGGGGATAATGATATGTCCGGACGTGTATAAAATTAACAGGATAAATTATATTAAACAGACGGATCTTTCTCGCGTCGTGCACGCGGGCTGGCTGGCAAATTAAAAATTCGAGCTGCTCTTTTGCGTTCGAGAATGCAAACGATTCTACTGTACGAGCGATCTGTATTAACACGCGTACGTACGCGTAGGATATTTGCGTTTGCGCGAAAATGGAATATTTAGAGTTAATATTGATATTGTATATTAATACATGTTCATTGAAATCTCGCTTAATTAAGCTACAGCTTCTTTTCATTTCGATGGTTCAAAATTATTTTCCGCCTCTCCTTTTCTCACTCGCGATTCCGTGTTGGCGGTTTCGACGCCGCGGACACGGTGACATGCGAAATTATACACTTTCGAAGTACAGTATTTGAAAAATCACGAGAGCATACAATGTTTATTTCAATGATCTCGCACGCTCACTATCGCGCGCGATTTAAATATTTTCTACCGTTTTCGACCGGCCGTTCCGCCGCCGTTTTTTTATCTCCCATCGATATTAACGAATCACATTTGCACACACTCCGAGCCGAGCGATTTAATAAATGTTTTGATTAAAACGCGTGTTTACGAAAAATAAAACGCGATAAAAGGAGGAGGGAAAAAATGTGACGGTGGAGAGGAGAGGCTGGAAAGTAGATGCGAGCGAGACGGAATTATAGGAACGGTACTCTGGCCGATTAAAAAATAATGAAAATATTGTTTGACTGAATAACCAGGCTGCCTTCTCGATATTTCCATCGGTTGGAATTCGGCGTTGAAAATTTTCCGCGTAAATATTGCGTTAGGGAATTTCAATTTCATATTCGGGATAGGCGATTCGCGGCCCGTTCGAACACATTCTTTCTCGGATATTTAGTACTAAACACGCTTGTGGGGACTTTGTAATAATTGTTTAGGAGAAATATTGGAAAATTAAGGGATTGTAGTGCTTAAAAATAATTAACATTGTCTTGATTTCGGTGTGAAAAATATTGCAGACTATATTTCACGGTTTTATTTATTAAATGTGTGAAATATCGTTACACTGAGACATTAGGTAAAATAAAGACTGCACCTCACACATTCTGTGACTTCACCCTTTTCTTGCAAGCAGCTCTTCAAGCACCGACCACATCTACCATCGCGTCGAAAACCAATTACAGCCTTGTATCCTTGACAAACCTCACCTCAGCGACGTCTTCGAATTTTCCAAGCTGCGACCTCGCCAAGCGACTCGTCGTGTACACACGGGGAGCGTAGCCGAGTAAACGGCGCGGCGGAGGTGTTCCAGCGGAAATGAGGGGAACGAAAGGCGAAAAGAAATCGGTTGGAAAGGAGGAGGAGCGCGAAGGAGGCAAGGACTTTAACGGTAAGACCGTGAAGGTTTCCAGCCCGTCCGATGAGAGATTGACGCTCCTGCGCGCCTTCGAGGAAAAGAACGCGAACGAAAGAGTGAGAGAAATAAAGAGTAGAACCCTCTTCGGCCATGGTGCACGTGAGCGAACAGGCGATAGCAGAGGAAGGGAAAAAAGGTGGAGGCTCGACTGAATGCTGCGTGGAAAAGGCCGCCTTTCCCCGTTCTCAGATATTTAAATCCGAACTCTGGGGCCGAAATCTCGAAGACAAGGGGGCGGTAGCGGGTGTTCGTCTGGAACGGTGTACCTTGAGCGGTGTGCACTGAAAGCAAGCCTCGAGAGTGAGTAAAAAAAAGAGAAACAGGGGGATGGTTATATGGGAAGATGCAGTAGGAGGAGGATGGTAAGGAAAGGAAGAGCTAGTTGTTCGAGCGTAACGT